AGTAAGAATTTCCCTGCAGTCTCTCAGCAACTCACTAAATTCAAAGCCATTTGACCCATTTTAATACATTTTCCACCAAAGCCAAAGATTACTGCTCTGTGTATAGCACTGACTGACATTGTCAAACTTTTCTAGTTGTACTTTCATTGCAGGAGACCAAACTAAGAAGCATTTAGTTGGTGTTTTTGTCAGTAGACAGAAGTGTGCTGGTTAGATGAAATAAATGCTGTGAAACAGTTCAACTAGGAGTCATGCTGAGTTAGTGTTTTACTGAAATCATTTATTTGTGACGGGTTGTTTATGTTGTTGTCTAACACATACCATCTCTGTTTTTTTACCTCGCATGCTTTTTGAAAAGTAACAACTCTGAAAACATAAATGATCTTTGTGGGTGCAAGTATAAAAATAGCAGGGGCTTAAAATAACTTAGAAAACTTAGAAAGGTATAACTTTAAAACTTAAGTTGTTTTGTTTTTACTTCCTGTATTTTCTAATGTAGCCAACTATTAAGATTTGTCCAATTTAATTACAGCACAGAGTGAATGCATTGCATATGTGTTTGTGTAATCATAACATTTGTGTCAGAGTAGTTTGACTTGTCAAGTGCAACTAACTCAATTTGAACTAAAAGGTTAATTGCTCAATCGCTCAGGTTTTTATCTTCCATTGTGTAGTGGTTAACACACTTGCAAGCAAGCAAAATATCACTGGTTCAATTCCAGAGGATAACACAAAGCTCCTTTGGACTGGACCGGATAATCGATTCGGCATTATATAAATAATATTTATAATTTTTTTAAAATACATCATTAGAGGTTAGCAGCACACAGTCACAATAGATAACGGATATATATATAACCTTAAGGTTAGACTGGATCTAAAGGAAAGAGCCAGTCTGCCTTATGGCCAGCTGCAAGTCACAACCAGAAGCGAGTATCCAGAAAAATGGTTTTGTTTTACCTGAATTATCATTTTATTTATTTAATTTTTGTTTTTGAGAAACAAAAAGGTTTATTCTTCTTCTAAGTGGACACATCCCAGAAGCGCTTTTCCAGATAAAAGCTCTCTGGGCTCTTTATCCAGGAGCAGGACTATGGTACTGTAAAGAAGAGAAGCTAACCAGGATTACAGACAGACAGAGAGAAAGAGATGAAGATGAGAGAGGAAGAAGGCAACTTCCTGTGTGTGTGTGTGTGTGTGTGTGTGTGTGTGTGTGTGTGTGTGTGCATGCATGTAAAACTGTAAAAACAAACTAATGAAAACGTCCTTAAGCTTCATTTTCCAAATAAAAAAAACAAAGTACATTAGAGGTTACATTACATTAGAACCTCTTGTATTGTGATGGTTACTTTTCTTTTTTTCTTTCTTTTTTTTATTAAGCTACAGTGTAAAAAAGAGAACATTTGAGCCAGGGGTCTTTATCTGGGTGCATCTTTGGGGTTGTATCAGAAAAAGCATCTGGTGTTAAAATCTGTCCTGAATCGAACATTTAGAACAGGGGTCTCAAACTTATGAGCTGTGGGCCACTGCTGGCACTGTCATCTCATGTGAGGGCCACTTTAGTACAAAGACAAACAAACAAGAAAACACCCACAAATATTTCCAAAAATGCTTGCTTTTTTAAATTTCCACTATTGTATAACAAGACAAAACTGCAAACATGAACACATTTTTTTCTCGCTCTTAATTAACTGAACCCTTTCATTAACCTACCAAATAAACAAATTGGTCTTCTCTTTCTTGCCAGACACGTGGGAGCACTTCTGCTATAATTTTGTTCGTATTTAACAAAATAAATGCAGACATTAGTCTTTGAGTGCTAGTGAAAATTGTCTCCTTTACAAATAAGTCTCTCACTGAACTAACACAGCCAGTACCTCAACATGTTTCTGCTCTCTGCTCATATCGCCTTCATATTAACTCATTTTTGGCTTTTTAAGCAACTTATTTTACCATTACAGTCAACAACAGCAAATCCTCCCTAACAAAAAAGTAACTTCAACGGCCAAATTGCGTTATATTTTGTCTCTTCAATAAACGAGTAGGGGTGACGTGGGCTGCAAGCAGCACCCGGGCTGCGAGTTTGAGACCCCTGATGTATAGAGGTATCTGAAGTGGTGATTAGTTACAGCCTAATTAAAGAATTCCTACGTAAATAAATAGTATGAAGATTCTCCTTGGATGATAAAAATGTATTTATGATTGAAAACAGAGCCTAACATGAGAAGTTTTCCATAAGGTTGAAAGGTTAGAGATAACACACAATTACACAACATGAGGAATGTTCTATTTGAAATGCACCGCGCTCCTTTCATCATTGGACAGTAACGCAAACGACAAGAGATAAAAGCTTCACTGCTTCAGTACAGTCATTCAAATATTTAACTTTATGGTTTTTAGATGATAACATTTCACATTACCAAACTGTTATCTAGATCAACACGTAGAGATTTGCAGGTACATTAATTTATTAAGTGGTTACAGCAGCGTTCGGTTAAGAGGGTTTAAAGCTTTAGCGGAAAATGCTTGAAAGACATATGCAAAGATTTACTCGTTCATATCGAGTTTACTTGCACACATACAATCTGTAGAGGTCAGTCCAAGTTGGTCCCATCGTCGTTTTTTATATTTGTTTCTTAAAAATGAGAACAAACAGTATCTTTTACAGTATATAAAGTCAGTACATAGTTGGTGGTGTACGTTTATCTGTGTGCAGGCGTGAGCACTGTTTCAATCTTTTGTGTGTGCCATACACAAGAATGGTTAACAGCTAAGCAGTGCAGAGCAGGAGGTGCCGAGAGTGACATGCAGTGCAGTGTAGAAAACTTGGCTATGGTTACAAAAACCAACTCAGCTCTGGAGCTTGCTCGTACACTGTGGATCATCAGCCTTAGTCCCAGTATGTTTCCTTTATGAAATATCTTCATGAGTGCTTTACTCTTACTGGAATCCAGCTGGGGTTATTTACTGTACTACAGGGGTCACTTCTGGCTTTATGGCTCTGCCCCTGGGTCCTATCACCTCTCCAGAATGATATATCTTCACTAAAACATGATTACCCCAGCTCAGTGTCCCACACTGTTAAGAGGGCTTCCATAACTTTATATTTGTACACAGCTGCCATAACATGGTATTACATAGGAGCAAGTTTGCCACTTTGTACATCTTTATTTTTCTCACTTGTGTGCTCACTTTGGCTTGGGAAAAGTGGAAAGGCATGATAGATGAGCTGTCTCATTTGCCCAGTTCCACTGTCTTTGCCTTTTTGTCTCGACCACACACACACACACACACACACTTCCTACTTGTTCTTGTCATTGGCTACACTGCTTGTTTGAAAGCACGTTTGGCGATTGCAGAGTGAGCAGGGCAGCTGATAACACTCAGGAGCAGGAGATACACTTGTCAGAATCCAGGATATTAACAAACAAACCTTGGGAGACTGAGCCCTATTGATTGTGTTTATTCCTCTGGCACCTTTTTGCCCGTCGCCTTCATCCGCTAGTCTGGACATTTAAGCTCTGTTCCAGATCTTGTGCTGGGACCTAAAATAAAGAAAAAGGCAAAGGCCCCCACAGTCCAACTGTTCTGGCTAGGATTCCTGCTCTGCTCCATGTGTTTCAGACTGAGGAAGCTTTTTTTCACCACACACATCTAATGACAGCAATCTTGCCAATATGGATGAGAGCCTATTCTGGGCCGCTTTGTTTATAGTTGGCACCAATATACGAGAACTCTGACCAACAGCTTGTTGGACTGAGGTATAAATTGTCCTCTCTTGACTTTTTGCATTTTGAGTAAGATCGCAAAATGTATATTTTCATGATTTTAAGAAGGCATTTTTTAAAAAAGAGAGCCCACCTATGAGGAGGACAAGACAGCTTTATTTTCTTCGGTCTTCATTTCACCCAAATAAATCTTAAAACATTTTCAAATCCTGTATGTCACAGTGTTACATATGGGCGTTAGCTTCCATAATGTTTACATTAATGTTTAGATTTCCATTTAACCCCCCCCCCCCCATTGGTCTTAGCAACTACTGTATGCTTTCTTTAATACTTAATACTTTTCTTTAATACTTCTCACCTACGAGCTAATGTAGTAGCTCCACTCTCTTAATTGGAGCTTTGCCCCCACAGCATAGATCAATATTTCAAACGGAAATTATGTATGTTTTTCCCCCTCTCTCTCATTTATTTTGAATCACCTATTGAGCATTGGATCAGATCCAAAGGAGTGTGGTGATTGGTGGGTCTAATTAGTTAGTCTGTGTATAATGTACAGTATAGTTAGCATGATATGTTGGAGAGCTATGTCATTCTTTTAGCAGGTAACAAAAAGCACAAGCAAGCTCTAACTTGCTGTGATGTTGCCTTTACTAGATCTTTATTCAGATTGAAGTGTATGTGAGTCGTGTGTATGTTAGTGAACTGTTGAATACAACTATCTTTCTTTATTGTACCCATAGCTTTTTTTTAACCTCTTTGCAAGATTGCTTTTATTTAATAAAAATAGACTTAATTGGATAATCGGGTGTTTTGAGAGTCAGAGATGCAGAATAAATGCAGCCAAGGAGAATCTTTTTTTTTTTAATCTAACTCGTTTTTTAAATGAGTTTGAATCCCGCTGAAGGATGAGTTATTTGCACAGGAGAAATGAAAGTGAATGTCAAGAAGTTAGCTGTTGCATGAAAGAGTCTCTTTTGACCTTTAAGACCTTTTTATAACACAATATTAATGCTGACTTTTATACAGCCTTGATAGTTGTTTTCTTCCGTCTCAATTAGCAGCCCTGTGTTAAGGCTTATGTGTGAAACAGTGCTCTGGTAGACCTCAAATGCTAATTGCATTCTGACTTTTCTTTTTTCTGTGTGCTATTATATGTCATTTTGTCTTGACTATTTTTTATGCGAGCAGGAGTACGGTGCAAGCAACATTTGGCTTTGCTGTTTAAACTGATCCATCTTTTTCCTTTTGTCTTTTCTTGTTCCTCGCTTACAGGTGATTCATCGCAAGTTGGTAAGTCAACATCTTTCTTTGTTTTTGCCACATGTACGCTCACCTCGATTCCGCGACAGTCGATCGGTTGCAGACGACCTTTATTACACAGTGTAGTCGGCTGTGTGTGAATGTTTATATCCACGCAAACCACCCGCTAATTATCCTTTTGAATTCTGCACTGCTAGTGTACACTGTTGAATAGAAACACATTCCTCTTCCTGCCTTTCACCCTCTCATTTATATTCTTTACACATCACACTTATTTGATTTTGTGTACTATATTACCTTCTATAGTTGTTTGCACTGTATATTGAAAGGGGATTTCTAACAGTTTACTGTGAAAAGATCAAACTCTAAATTCCTGCTTTGGGAGTCTGATGAATTGCACCGCCTTGTAATGTAGATGCAAATTTTAAAGCTCCCATTGAGTGACTAGCCAGTTTGGGAACCCAGACATAATTCTGTTTGAATAATGTATGTTACTGCACTGGCTTTCTTATCATGATATAAAATTCAAGGAGTTGTTCCTTTTTTAGTTTCAACCTCATAAAATGATTCATGCAGGGGCTCAGAGTCTGATGTATGGATTTTAGTAAAAGATTCTTGTTACTTTGGTCATGAGCTTCCATTCATTTATTACCATAGTTTAGTGCTTTCCTTTTTATAATGGGCCATTAATGGCTGCCCTTCTCTTTGCTGCCTACTGCCCAAAATTTAAAAAAAAGAAAAAAAAGTTTCCTTTCAAAGTGAAGCTCTGAGAGGAAATTCAGAGTTATCGTCAAATTCTATTTGTTGTCTTGTTCTTTGCTTGGCCTGAGGTGCTCTGAGGGGTGTGCTGTGAAGCAGGATGAATGGGTTAGTGAGATATGCTGATTTGTTGCCAAGTCTCTTTTAAACTGATTGTTTTGAGCATGCAGAACAGATTAGAAAACTGCTTGGTGTGCATTGCATTTCTTTCATCGAAACACAGTGTCAGACTCCAATGCACTTCTTCAGCTGCATTTCGCTTACACCAGGTTTTATATCCTTCGTGTTTCTCCGCAACTTGTTACTCCTGACTGAAGAGTCAAATGACGCATTAAATATCCTCTTTTATGTGAGCATGCATGGCGCCTTAAGAAGAACGCGTGGGTTACATTGCCTCTGATAAGGGTTTTAGGTCCTGTCCAGGAAATGCCAAGAAAAGCTGTCTTCATTGAACTCATTTAATTCTACAGCTCTCAATAGTGTCAAATAATTTATTTTAACATAGATCGACGCTTTGTCTATAAATATGTCTTTAAATATGCTGACATGTCACAGTATGCTAGATTTCTGTAAACACTTAATTTTAAATCAATGGGCGTAAAACAGATGAAGGATTGGGATAGGGGTACGACGGCAGCCGCGGTCAGACTAATGAGATGTAACAACACCTCGCTGAAACAGTTAGAAAATGAGATGTGTGAATTTAAAAACTCTAGCTCGCAGCACTTTGTAGCAGTAAACTATTGCTTTAGTGATGTGTCAGTGTTATCACTTCCCTCCTAATAATTAGCTTTGTCTCGCTGCAGTACCCACTATGCATTATGAACCTGCAGTAGTAATCTACAGCACAGCAAAATGTGTAGCATGTAATGAGAAAAATAATGTGCAGTTATTCTCACATAGCGATGATAAAGAGGTTTTTAACCCATTCTCTGGGGTGTATTTTCCCCTGTGAGTTCTGCACTGTGGTAATTGAAGCATGTCTCCTGATCCTCATGTGGTTAATGTGTGTGTGCGCGCGCATGTGTGTGTGTCAAGGTTTGTCCAGCGAGTGTTTGGCCCAGAGATCTGATGCTGTCTGAATACTAATTTGAAATTTTGTCTGACTGCGGCAGCTTGGAAACTGGGTGGGGACTAGAGGTTTAGTTAGGGACAAGTTCATCCCAAGGGTTACTGTGCAGAGTGGAGAGCACATCAGGTCCTTACCACCCACTAAGAATCAAGATTCAAAGTGGGGGAAGAGATTAAAACTGATTCAAATTTGATCTGGAAAGCTGGTGCAATTTCAGTTTCGTCGTTATTTAAACCACTGGGCAAAGAACAACGCTATACTTTGTTTTGATTTGTGATATAAGCTATTTCTGCACCAGTCTGCAAAGTCAACATGGCTTTGGTCCTGTAGATATTGGAGGATTCACTAAAAGGTAGCTACTCATCAGCTCATCTGGTTCTGCAGACTGTTTCATGCAATATTTAATTAGTGAAAAGGTTGCACTGTAGCCCATATGCCCAACCTAAATCACTCAGGCTTTCTTTAAACATAAGCTGTATATAAAATAATACTTCATTGATTACTTGATAGACACAGTCACACTGTCTTGAAAGGCAGTAACAACTTGCGATTGCAGCACTTCACATTGCAGCTTTCTAAAAGTCAGTCGATTGGTCCAAACGTACAGTGCTTGTTTTCTTCAAGTTTGTTTCAAACTTGATAAGCTGTCAAAATACTAGTGCGGTGTACAGATTTGCACATACGCTGACATGTTTCCCATGGGATTTTGTCAGAACTCATTAAGTACAGTTAAACCTATATAGGAAAGAATGTCTCATCTATCTCCACAGCCATTTGCCAGTGTTGAAATGTGTATTATTGCCACTAGTTATTGTTGTATTTTTGTACAGGGTCCAGTTTTTTGTTTTTTGTGTTTTGTTTTTCTTTTCCCTGTCAGGCTTATGAGGCAGGTTGTGGCAGAGATAATTGTTGTCCCTTAGATGTGGAGGCAGGGAGGCTGACTATAAGCAGAGATCCTTATCCTATTGCTGTATTTCATTCTGACTCAAAAAAAAATGGCTTTGGCAGAAGCACAGACATCTTTCTGTGTACCTCGCTCTCTCTCTCAAGCCTTGTTCACCAGAGATCAGATGATTAGCATCTCTTCCCCTTTTTCTCTCTCCTCCCTTTGAATGCCAACCTCAGGCGAGTCAGAGCCAGCAAAAGCCTCTTCATGCTTGCCGATGCTGCAATGGGATTGGCCGACTCACCACACATGGTACAAAGAATGCTCGGTTAACCACACATCCACAGTTTGGAATAGAAAATGAGGGATTCAAGCTGGTGGATGGTGCCACTTAGAAAGTGGAATTTTTTGTTTGTTTGTTGGTGTTATACAAGTAAAATGTTTTATACACAAGTTCATTGAAAACTTGTTAAGGCTTTGAGTTTTTATGTTTTTGCTAAAAACATTGTGCCAACAATCAAATGCATTCAGATGTAGCACCTTTAAAACTGAAAGTAATTTGTTGTGGAATAAATTGCATGGCAGCCTAAAACTGCGTTTCTGCCAATAACTAATATTCTGATGGACCTTTTGGATCCAGATATTCAAATGAAGCATTAATTCTATTTTGACAATGAAAAACCATCATTGCATCAAAATAATGTTAGAGTCTGCACAAAACTAGGTACCTCCACCAAGGAAGTGCCTAATATATGTGGATATTCTAAAAATGACATCATGTTATTATGACCTTATGTACATTACAATAACAGGCTGTAAGTGTCTAAATAGCTAACAATTTAAATTTATTGCTAACATTAAAATACATTTAATGGAACAATAAAATGAAAAAATATATATAACCTTTTAACCAAACTTCACATTTTCAACGTAGCATAACTAGCATATTGATGTACGTCTGGCCTGTACAGGCTCAGTCCTCATAATAAAAGCCACATTAACTGCACAATTTGTTAAGAATGCCCCTTGTGGTTTTAATCCACTGGGGCTTCAGTTTCTCAGATGATGGAAGCACTTGGGGATTTATGCTTTTGAACATTTGAACATTTTGTAAACCATTTACTTAGTTGATACCTTGAAAGAAAGATGTGTATTTTGCACATTTCCGTTACATTTGTTTTAAAAAGCATGGCAAACAGGACAAAAATAACATTCCATTATACCTGGAAATGTAACCAATACTTAAGGTATTCCCTGCCTCCTGATAAATAACACAGGATAGGAAGAGCACAACAAAATGGGCAATCCACAATAAAAACTCAAGCCTGTGGCCAAATTTACATACTAAAGGAGAATGGTAATGAGATAGCTACCTGAGATAATTACTACTCAAGGCGTCCGGCTCTTATACTTTACCACAGGGAACCAGTTTAACTCACTACAATTAAATGGGCACTCATTTGCTCCATTTGAGGCACCCTTTATGCCATTTTATGCCCCACTGTGTCTTAATTGAGTGTTGACTTAAATATGAAAATTGTGAGCCAACAGAAGTTTAAGGATGCAGATTTGGATATCTAATGGATGGATATTCTTCTATTTAAGATTATTAGAAAAAAAAATACAGTATTTTTTTTCTTCTTGATTTAATCACAATCACTTTCCAGTGGCGTTTTTATGGATGCATATTTGAACTAAGATTTACAGCTGTTTGTAAAACGGCTATTGACCTTATCAAAATTCTTCTTGTGTACTCCCCTCCTTAGCTCTCGTCAAATACCTTTTTTTGTGTGATTCCTACTGAGGATTATTCTTGCTGGCTAATTTTGAAAGGGATATTGTTTTTTAATACACCTGCCTAAGCTAATATTTATCCTGCCACTGCATAATATCTAATGTGGGGTCTGGCAGGGACTGGGTTATAGAACTTAACTTTTCTGACATCCACATATTCAGGCCTTTATCAATAAGTAATCAGGACAAATAAGAGTCAGCATGTATATTTAGTTTTATTGCAGTGTGGCCTAGAAATACTATTATTAACATCAATGACTTCTATAATATTCCTCTTCCTATTGGCGACTATGTAACTGCTCTGCTGACATCCAGCCTTTCTTCAGAGGCTGGAGAGATCTCTGACATGGCAATCAGTCAAACTTACTGCCATTATATTTCATCTCTGTCCTGCCTCAAACAAATAAATTAAACTGTAATATCTTGACTGCTGAGAAATTGCCTTGGATTGTTATAAATGATGGCGGGTTGATAGTGTGTGATCGTTGAACTTGCTGTATTCTGCTTAACAGTGTGAGA